CAAATCAGGATATTGTCCAGGTCTTGTTGCATTTGGACATGGACAGTTTTAAAAATTCTTTTGTGGCAGAAGGACATCACAGGCTGGCCAGCATACATTGCCTGTCCTTGTTGTCCTAGAGACATTGGTGGTGAGCTGCCTTCTTGAACTGCTGCAGTCCATGTACTGTAGGTAAACTTACAATGCCATTAGGGAAGGAATTACAGGATTTTGATCCAGTGACAATGAAGGAATGGTGATATTTTTCCAAGTCAAGATAGCAAGTGACTTAGAGGAGAACTTGTAGGTGATGATGTTCCCGTATATCTGCTGCCCTTGTCCTTCTCGATGGAAGTGGTCATGTATTTGGAAGTTGTTGTCTAAGGATCTTTGAATTTCCTCACTACATCTTGGTGATAGTATATACTTTTGCTGCTGAGCATCGGTGGTCGAGGGAGTGGATGCTTCTGAATGTGGTGCCAATCAGGCTTTGTCCTGAATAGTGTCAAGCTTCTTGAGTGTTGTTGGAGCTGCACTCATCCAGGGAAGTAGGGAGTATACCATCACACTTCTGACTTGTGCCTTCTAGATGATAAAGAAGCTTTGAGGAGTCAGGAGGTGAGTTATTTGCTGCAGGATTTCTAGCTTCTGACCTGCTCTTGTAGCCAGTATATTTCTATGATGAGCTCAGTTGATTTTCTGATCGGTGATAACCCCCAGTATGTTGATAGTGGGGGAATCAGTGATGGTAAGGCTATTGAATGTCAAAGGGCTGTGGTTAGATTGTGTCGTATTGGTGATGGTCATAGTCTGGCAGTTGTGTGGTATGAATGTTGTGTGCCACTTGTAACCCCAAGCTTGGAAAATTTCAATACCTTGTTGCATTTGCACATGGACTGCTTCAATATCTGAGGAGTTGCAAAGAGTCCTGATCATTGTCAACTCATCGGTGAACATCCCTACTTCTGACCACATGATGGAGGGAAGGCCATTGATGAAGCAGTCTCAGACACTATCTTGAGGAACTCTTGCAGAGAAGTACTGGAGTTGAGATGACTGATCTTCAACAGCCACAATCATCTTCCTATGTGCCAGGTATGACTCCAACTTGTACACACTTTGCCCCTGATTCCCATTGATTCCAGTTTTGCTGGGGCTACTTGATGGCACATGGTCAAATGCTGCCTTGATTTTGAGGGCAGTCTCTCTCATCTCATCTCTGGACTTCAGCACTTTTGTCCATGTTTGAACCAAAGCAGGAATGAGATCAGGAGCTGAGTGGCTCTGGCAGAACCCAGTCTAATTGTCAATGAGCAGATTGTCGCTAATCAGGTGCTGTTTTATAGCACTGTTGATGGCACCTTCTATTATAATTTACTGATGATCAAGTGTAGACTGATGGGGTGGTAATTGGCCATATTGGCTTTATGTGTAGGATATATACCTGGATAATTTTCCACATTGTCGAGGAGATTCCAACGTTATGTTTGTTGTCAATCATTAGAACCTGATGGAAGAGGCCGTCATCTTTGCTCTCAAACAGCACTTTGTCAGCGAGTAGAAGATTACTGACTATCAGTTTGTTTCCAGAATCATAGAGTCACTGCAGTGCGGAAGCAGGCCATTCAGCTCATCGAGTCCACACTTAACCTCTGAATAGCATTCTACCCAGACCCAGCCCCCCTCCCCTATCCCTGCATATCCCAGGGCTAATCCACCTAACCTACACATCCCTGGAGACAATGGGCAATTTAGAGTGGCTAGTCCACCTAACCTGCAGATCTTTGGACTGAGAAGGACACTCAGTTCCTGATACCATTATAACTCTGGTCAATACAAATGAGCTGGGCACCAGAAGTGAGATGAGAATTACTGCCCTTGATTAAGCATAAGGAGCCCTAGCAAAATTGAAAAGAATGGGAATCGGCAGGGAAATCTCTCCTGTGGGTGAAGTCATTACCAGCAGAAAGTAAAATGGTTGTGTTTGTTGGAGGTCAGTCATGTCAGCTGTAGGACATGCTCATGGGAATTCCTGAGACTCATGTCCCAGGCCCAATCATTGTAAGCTGCTTCATCAAAGATTTTCCTTCCATCATAAGATCAGAAGTAAATGTTAGCTAATACAATGTACAGCACAGACAATGTACAGACTTTTGGCTCATCTGAAGCACCCATGTCCCTATGTAGCAAGACTTGGTCAGCATTCAGACTGGGGGTAATAAGTGCCAAGTAACATTTACACCACATTAGTGCCAGGCAATGATCATCTCCAACAATGGCGAATCTAACCATTTCCCTTTCACATTACAAGGCATTGCCATCACTGTGTCACCTATAACTGCATCTTGGGGGTTACCTTTCATTAACAACTGAGCTAGACCAGCTATATGAATACTGTAGCTGCAAGAACAGGTCAAAGGGAAGGAATAAAAACCGAAAGATCTGCGAATGCTGTAAATCAGAAACAGAAACAGAGCTTGCTGGAAAAGCTCAGCAGGCCTGGTAACATTTGTGAAGAGAAATCAGAGTTAATGTTTCAGGTCCGGAAGGGGTCACAAGTTCACAAGTCCTGAAACGTTAACTCTGATTTCTCTTCACAGATGCTGCCAGACCTGCTGAGCTTTTCCAGCAACATCTGTTTTTGTATCAGAAGAAAGGAATTCTGCAGTAATTGTTTTCAGGACTCGCCAAAGCCAGTCCACTGTCTACAAGATACAAGTCAGGTCTGTGATGGAATGCTCTTCACTTGCCTGGATTGTGCAGCTCCAAAGATGTTTGAGAAGTTCAATGCCATCCAAGACAAAAAAACCCCTCTTGATTGGTGCTCTATCCATCGCCTTCAACATTCATTCTTTCTACCACCAATGCAAACTGACAGATATTGTCCCAAACGGTATGGTGTACCTACTTCCATGGACTTCAGCACTTCAGAAAGGCAGTTTACTACCAGTTGAAACAAGCTGAGAAGGGTAAATTAGCTGTCCCATTTTTAAATGTATTGTTTGGCTTATAATTTTTTTAAACATACAATTATCATATTTACGTTAAAATGTAATTCACAGATTTAAAATTAAGTGGCAAATTTCAAGCTTTTCTTGAGTGAAACGAAACAGAATTTTATTATTTATTAGCCCTGAGGAAAAATAATAAATGGAACATCAAACATTTGCACACGTAAATACAAAAGTTCATTTTAAGAAGGAGAGAGTGCCTTGTAGAGTCAGGAAGGTAAAATATGTGTAGTTTAAGAATTCTTCGAAGCTTTGTGGTGTTAATTTTTAACCTGAGTCCATAGTTGTTTAATGATAACTTGTATCCTTAGCAGTATCAAAGTTTGTAGGCATCTTTTTGAGTTTGATGTGTAGATGATTCTTCAATTTGTTTTTCACTAGTCGCTTTCTTCCAAAAGCAGGGGGAGAAAACTGGCGTCTTCCTGTTCTGCCATTACAATTATTTTTTCCTTTGTCTGCTTTGCCAGTTACCTGAAATGCTGTTAATTTGTGTATTCTCATTTCTGGCTTCAGTTTTTTAGCCCAATTGGATTATCTGCAGGTGACATTCATATCCAGTATGTGCAACCTATATTGAAAAAACATATATCAAACAGAAGGTACAGATCTGAGTATAAATACCTGGTATAAGTGTTAAATCTGGCTCAAACTCATTCTTATTTCATGGTTTCATAAGCTGGCACGCTTAGACCACAAGATGATAAACATAGAAACCAGAGTAGTCATTCAGCTCCTCGAGCTTACTCCGCCATTCAATAGGATCGTGGCTGATCCAACACTCCACACATCCTCTTTCCTCTCCTTTCCCAATAGCCATTTTTTCCTTTACTGATTCTTAATCTATCTATCTCAGCCCTAAGTATACATAAGAACTCTGCTCCACAGCTCTCTGTAGCATGGAGTTCCAAAGACTCTCAACCCTGTGAAAGAAGTTCCTCCTCATCTCAATCTGAACTCAGCATCCGTCAATTCTGAGACTGTGCCCTCTCCTAGACTCTCCCATGAGAAGAAACATTCTGCCAGTATTTACCATGTTGCGCCCCTTAAATATCCTATATTTTTCAGTGAGATTGCCTTTCTTTCTTCTAAATTGTAATGAGTGGAGTCCCAATCTGTTTAGCCTTTGCTGAGAGGACAATCCCTCCATACTGGGATCATCCTAATGAACCTTCACTGAACTGCGAACAATTAAATGATATGTTTCCTTCAATAAGGGATGAAAACCAGGCTGAAAGACTTTGGGATTCTTTGTGTAAATATATCTGGATGCTACCATAAAGGTGAATATGATATATATGTCTATGCATTCAAGGAATAATGTAGTATTTGTTCACCTATGGTTTTATATGCTCTCAGTTATTTGGGTGGTGGTTTATGAACCCAGCAATACCATTGTGAGGTTGTGCTAAGCAAGAACTGAAAGCATCTTCAAGAAGTAAGAGGGAACAAAAATTGAAGGAAGAATCAATGCAGAACATTTGCGACATGACATCCAGTCACCTATAATGGAGTGTCATTTGCAGAGGTAAAGGAATAAATGGTTTGTTTTCAGTCAGAGATGCTGACGGTTATTGGGAATTGGGAGGAAAAAAGAAAAGAAAATCAGTGACTCCAGTGTCCTATAGAGATGAGAAAGCCAGTTGAATAATATGGTTGAGAACTGCAACAAACAGTTCAACACCAGAAAGGAGTAATAGGTTGAAAGTGTTAAACAGCTACACTAAAATGATATCACATCTCTTTGGCTTCTACATAATTTCAAAGCCTTCATATATTAGGTTAAACTTTGAGAATAATTATAAAATTTTCACTTTTTTTCTGTTTCCTGATTGGAACCAGAAAACTTGCATTTCACTCTTTTTTCAGTGGAAGTGAATTCATATAAGGAAAAATGATGAACAAAGTATTGTTTTGTTGAGTATTGATCAACAACACAGTCTCTCTGAATTATTTTACTAAATTGGTACTGTTACTAGACTGATTAGCTTTGGTTTCTTTTTCTTTTATCAGGAGATCCTGCTGCTGAAGAGTGGTCTCAATGGAGTGTATGCTCACTCACATGTGGTATGGGATCACAGGTGCGAACAAGATCATGTGTAGCATCCCCCTATGGAACTCTGTGCAGCGGTCCTCTAAGAGAAACTCGAGTTTGCAATAATTCAGCTACATGTCCAGGTATCTTTAATACATGGTGCAATTTTGCTTAACAGCACTGATTGCTGTCTTTGAAGCTAATTTAACTGACCAACAAAGTGGTATCCACCAAGAATAGATATTGCTTGAAACTGCTGTTGGAAATAATAGCAAAAGAATGCTTAATATGTTGAATTAGCATTCCTCTATTAATTTAACACAGATTAATATTTAAGATTAATTCGAACTTACCTCACTTGAAGTAAATGTGTGTTACTGCCATAGATAAATTAGTAAACTCAGAATTGTCATATATACAAATGGGGAAGAAATCTACACGTAAATTGCAATTCTAGCAGTGCTCATGTTAACTCTTCTCAGGATAGACAGCATAATGGGCTTACTGCCTGTGTCCTGAGGCTTTTCTTCAATTACATCACAGACAAATGCTGCATAGACTGTGCAGTTTGAGGCCAGTGGAGCTGTCTGTATCTGGGAAATCAAGGTAATTCTGCCTAGCACCACCAGAAGTAGTGCCATGCAACCAAGTGTCTCTTCATTAAATATTCTTTCTTGTCACTGCGAAGAGTTTCTTCGAATCTATAGTCACTGCTTACAATAAAGGAGAGCTATGTAAATCGATAAGCATGGTTATTTTAATGTAGTGTTCTGATTCCAGCTGATTGTACTACTGAACAAATATTAAAATGAATCTTGACTTGAAATATCAAACATTTAGTATGCAGATGATTGTTGTGGTGAATAAAAACCGAAAGAACTGCAGATGCTGTAAATCAGGAACAAAAGCAAAGGTTGCTGGAAAAGCTGTGCACAATAGGCAGCATCTGTGAAGACAAAATCAGAGTTAATGTTTTGAGTCTGGTGACCCTTCCTCAATTCGTTAACTCTGATTTTTTCTTCACAGAGGCTGCCAGCCTTGCTGAGCATTTCCAACAACTTCTCATGTTGTTTGTGGTTATTGTGATGCTTGATCACTGAAATGCATTTGCACCAGGCTGCAGATGTTCTTTAACAATCAAACTTTGGCCTAGATATTCTGATGGCCAGAGAGTCATTTCTGCAGCATAGACTGGAGTTGTTTGCCAGGACCCTTCTGAATACCAGATGCAGCAGACTTTGTTGGAATTGCCCAGGCAATTGAAAATGTTGATGGACGATTTCCCTGCACCTGGAACCCTTTGATACATGCTTGTAATAAAGAATTCAGAGGGTTCAACTTCAGTTCACACTTACCCTGGAAGTTAGATAATTAAAAACTTAGTCTAACTCCTGGGAAACTATTAAGCTGACACCCCCAACTTACCAAACACACCTCAACTACACCTGCCCTGACTCAATACATAGGTGGGACTCATGACTGTCTCATGTCCGCCACCTCAACCTGACATAATTATCCTTTCCCTGAGATCCAAACTATTACTCCTCTGCTAGCTCATGCCAGATTATTATATAAAATAGAAATACAATTAGAATGATTTTCACACAAAAAGCAAAATAAAGTTCCCTTTTGTTGCCCAATACTATCTGTTACAGGCTCTCAAATCCAGAGAAATTATCCTCCCATTTCAGCCATTTAAGATTCTAATTAAGTGACTCCTTCCAATTTCTTTTCCATGGACTGTGATGACATTTTTATGACTCCTTTCCCAATCTGTGGGCATGAGCCTTTCACAGTTCTGAGACCTAACCTTTCTCAGTTCTGATGCTTGAAAGCTTCTAAACAAGCTTTCCTGCCTTAGGAACTTCACAGACTAGAAAACAGACTACTGAGGTGACTGGTTCTTTTGTACTGACCTATACTCTCATTCTTCTGAATTCAATTTTTAAAAAGTATATATATTATTCTGCTGTGAAATCAAAACAAAATTACTGGCTTGTTCTATTTGCTTTGCCTGTCATAAATTCACCAATATAAACATCTACCCTACTAACACTACAGGGTTCGTCATGTGCTTTCCTAACAATTAAGTATTCTGGTCACTGTTCCAAACTGTCTTTCTGACTTTTTAATATCAAATTTCACAGAACTGACCAAAATCCTTCTGCCTTTATTTCAAAATCCAAGTAAAAATATAGATATATAATACAACTTTCATAATACAACACAGTGGTGTCTTGAAGAAACCCAGACTTTCTAGCAGTATAGTTCTTCTCCACCATTTACATGCTGTTCTGTCCTTTTTGCCATGTATTTTGGTTAAATGTTGACAGCTTGTTGCATAAAACTACTTACAGACATGACACTGACATTAAAAAGTTGGCTTAAAATCAATGCAACCAACTTCCTTCATGAAACATAACAACATAAGAAATAAGAGTTGGAATACGGCATTTGAATGCTTAAACCATCTAACAATATCAAGGCTGATCATCTACACAAGTAAAATCACAAATTATGGTAGACAATAAAGCACAATAGATACAGAAAAGATTTTTTAAAAAAATTGACGATAGCGGTTTTCATATTTTCGTTTTCTCAGCATGACATCTTACACTTAGTAAAGGCCATCACCAGGGTTGAATATAATAGGACAGAAGAAAATGTAAGTTAGAATGTCAAAACAAGAATTTTACTTTAACTATGATCATACTTAGATCAGTGTGCATGAATACAGTATAATACAAAAGCAAATTATTGTGAATGCTGAAAATCTGAAATAAAAACTAAGAGTTCTGGAAATATTCACCAGGGCAGACAACATTTGTGGATGGAGAGAAGCATCGCCTGAACTTTCCAAGGTAGAATGTTCAGAACATAGAACATAGAACAGTACAGCACAGTACAGGCCCTTCGGCCCACGATGTTATGCCAACCTATTATCCTACTAAGATCAAACTACCCTGCATACTGTACATTATACTATCGTCCATGTGCCTATCCAAGATTTGCTTAAATGTCTCTAATGTATCTGACTCCACTACCACTGCCAGCAGCGCATTCCACAGGCCCACCACTCTCTGTGTAAAGAACCTACCTCTGACATCTCCCCTATACCTTCCTCCAATCACCTTAAAATTATGCCCCCTCATAATAATCATTTCCGCCCTGGGAAAAAGTCTCTGGGTATCCACTCTATGTATGCCTCTCATCATCTTGTACACCTCTAACAAGTCAGCTCTCATCCTTCTTTGCTCCAATGAGAAAAGCCCTAGCTCCCTCAACCTTTCCTCATAAGACCTGCCCTCCAGACCAGATAGCATCCTGGTAAGTCTCCTCTGCACCCTCTCTAAAGCTTCCACATCCTTCCTATAATGAGGCGACCAGAACTGAACACAATATTCCAAGAGTGGTCTAACCAGGATTTTATAGAGCTGTAGTATAACCTCGCGGCTCTTAAACTTAATTCCCCTGCCAATGAAAGCCAACACACCATATGCCTTCTTTACAACCCTGTCAACTTGGGTAGTAACTTTGAGGGATCTATGGACGTGGGCCCCAAGATCCCTCAGTTCCTCCACACCGCTAAGAATCCTTCCATTAACCCTGTATTCTGCATTCAAATTCGACCTCCCAAAATGAATCACTTCACACTTTTCTGGGTTGAATTCATCTGCCACTTCTTTACCCAGCTCTGCATCCTGTCAATGTCCCCTACAAAAGCCCTCCACGCTATCCACAACTCCTCCAACCATCGTGTCATCAGCAAGCTTACTAACCCACCCTTCCACTTCCTCATTCAAGTTATTTATAAAGATCACAAAGAGCAGAGGTTCCAGAACAGATCCTTGCAGAACACCACTGGTCACTGAGCTCCAGGCGGAATACTTTCCATCAACTACCACCCTCTGTCTTCTATTGGACAGCCAGTTTTCTATCCAGGCAGCCAAATTTCCCTGAATCCCATGCCTCTTTACTTTCTGAATGAGCCTACCATGCGGAACCTTATCAAATGCCTTGTTAAAATCCATATACACCACACCCACTACTCTGCCTTCATCAATGCGTTTTGTCACCTCCTCAAAGAATTCAGTAAGGCTTGTGAGGCATGACCTGCCCCTCACAAAGCCATGCTGACTATTTATAATCAAACTGTGCTTTTCCAAATAATCATAAATACTATCTCTCAGAATCCTCTCCAATAATTTGCCCACCACAGAAGTAAGACTGACCGGTCTGTAATTCCCAGGATTATCCCTATTTCCTTTCTTGAACAAGGGAATGACATTTACTTCCCTCCAATCATCTGGTACTACTCCAGTGGACAGTGAGGATGCAAAGATCATCGCCAAAGGGGCAGCAATCTCTTCCCTCGTTTCCCGTAGTAACCTTGTGTATATATTGTCTGGCCCAGGGGAATTATCTATCCTCTTGTTTTTCAAAATTTCTAGCACATCCTCCTTCCTAACATCAACTTGCTCGAGCATATCTGCCTGTTTCATGCTGTGCTCACAAACGTCAAGGTCCCTCTCACTGGTGAATACTGAAGCAAAGTATTCATTAAGGACCTCCCCTACCTCTTTTGACTCCACGCACAAGTTTCCTCCACTATCCCTGATTGACCCTACCCTCACTCTGGCCGTCCTCTTGTTCTTCACATAAGCATAGAACGCCTTGGGGTTTTCCTTGATCCTGCCCGCCAAGCTTTTTCATACCTCCTTCTAGCTCTTTTAAGTCCAACTTCAGTTCCTTCCCGGCTACCTTGTAGCCTTCTAGATCCCTGTCCGATCCTTGCTTCCTCAACCTTAAGTAAGCTTCCTTCTTCCTCTTGATTAGATGTTCCACGTGTCTTGTCATCCAAGGTTCCTTCACCTTACCATCCCTTCCTTGCCTCAGTGGGATAAACCTGTCCAGTACTCGTAGCAACTGCTCCTTTCTGAAGAAGGGTCTAGGCCCGAAACGTCAGCCTTCCTGCTCCTCTGATGCTGCTTGGCCTGCTGTGTTCATCCAGCTCTACACCTTGTTATTCCTAAACAACCTCCACATTTCTGCCATGCATTTCCCTGAGAACATCTGTTTCCAATTTATGCTCTGCAGTTCTTGCCTAATAGCATTGTAGTTCCCCCTCCCCCAATTAAATACT